AAATTATGTTATAGTAAAACATGTTTCTAAAAATTACAAAATGATTCTCATGATAAAGTATTAATATGTTAAAAATGAACCAGGTAGATAAAAAAAGAAAAGAAATTAAAGTAAAATACTGATATGTGACAGACAATTCAAAATCCTTGAATTCTGCATATGTATACAAAATGTATTTTTTATAGAAAAATGTATTAGAAATGCATAAAGTTGTGTTCTTTATTGATAAAAAAATAATTTTGTCTAATTTGGAGGTTAATTAAACGTTTCAAAATATAGAACAGATGCAAAAGAAGCAGTGAGTAAGAGAGGGATATGTGAAGAAAGTATAGATATGAAGATATACTTTTGGTAAGAAAGGTTAAAAAGAAAAGAGAATACTTTTATAGGAGAAAAAACTTTATATGGTAAATTTGTGAAATAAGGTTAAAAAATTTTTTTTTGACCTGGTGACAGAGTCTCACTCTGTCACCAGGCTGGAGTGCATTGGCATGATCTTAGCTCACTGCAACCTCTGATTCCCTGGTTCAAGTGATTCTCCTGCCTCAGCTTCCTTAGTAGTTGGAATTATAGGCACATGCTACCATAACCAGCTAATTTTTGTATTTTTAGTAGAGACGGGTTTTCACCATGTTAGCCAGAATGGTCTCCATCTCCTGACCTTGTCATCTGCCCACCTCAGCCACCCAAAGTGCTGGGATTACAGGCATGAGCCACCATGCCTGGCCCCTAAAGCGAAATTTGAGAGCAAAAGTGCAGGAGAATGCAGAAATTCCAAATATATTGTCAATGGTACACGTTGTCAGTGTACACTGTGATAAGGTTTGTGAAAAGAACATTTATGAAAGGAAATTTGCATGTGATGAAGTTGGCTATAGTTAAAAGAAAATTACTTAGAACTCTTTCTAAAGATTGAGCTTTGATACTAAAAGTACCCTAATTCAAAACTAAACGTTTTGGTTCCCTATGTTAGAATAGCAAATTTTTCATCCAGTATTGATTTACTTTTAGTAAAATTACAAAAGGTTCTGGTTTTTAATTCTGAAATCTGTTTCTTTTTAAAACTTCTCAGACTTACATCTTGGATGTCTAACTTGTACTGTACCTTGCTGCATGTGATTTGCAGGTCACGTGTCATTGCCTTCTGTTTTTTTATCCCTGTGAAAGGTACATCTTTTTGCTTGGCTGGGATGCTAACTCTCTTCTTCAACGTTTTTTATCAATTCCTATAACTTTTTCTCTGGTTCTAACACTGATGTTATGGCCTGACGCTGAAATGTTTTATCTTAAAGGTGTAGAAAAGCAAAGTTTTCCTCTAGTATAACTTGGTTTTGTACTTTTGGCTTTTCTTTATAGATCTGCATTGTTCAGTATGATGAGGAAACATCCGTGTTGTTACTAAGAGACCCTACGTTGTTTCCCTACTCAGGGTAGTAGTTTTCTTATTTACATTCCTCCAAAATAAATTGTACATCATAATCATGCACAAACTCTTCCTTTGTCTGCTTAAAATCAAATACTTTTTCATCAGGCTGGACGTGCAGGTTATCTAAATGTGCTTCTCATGAGGAAAAGCAATCTCACTACAGAAGCCTTTTCTTTTTTTTCTTTTTTCTTTCTTTTTTTTTTTGGGGAACAGGCCTGAAAAAAAAGAGATCTTACATTTTATCAAGATAATTCTTGTGTTGTCTTTATTAGGATTTTGGTTACTTAGGAAAACTGAGTAAGCTTTAAATGGGTTAAGGCTTTCACATCCATTCACTTCTATCTTGCTTTTGAAGTTTTACGATTATTGCTCTGGATACGTGAATAACTATTATTTATAATAGTGACCTGTGATTCCATTTTGTTTTTTGGATTTTTGTTTGTTTGTTTTTGTTTTGAGACAGGGTCTTGCTCTGTTGCCGAGGCTGGAGTACAGTGGTGTGGTCATAGTTCACTGCAACTCGGGCTCAAGTCATCCTCCCACCTCAGCCTCCTGAATAGCTGGGACTACTGATGCATGCCACAACACCCAGCTAATTAAAATTTTTTTTCATTTTTTGTTTTGAAGATAAGGTCTTGCTCTGTTGCCCAAACTGCAGTGAAGTGGTGCAATCACAGCTTGCTACAATTTTGAACTGTAGGGCTCAGGCGATCCTTGGTCACCTGAGTAGCTAGGACTACATGTGTGTGCCACCACGCCGGGTTAATTTTTCATTTATTTGCAGATACCAGGTCTCCCGATGTTGCCCAGGCAGGTCTTGAACTTCTGCTTCAGGCAATCCTTCTGTCTTGGCCTCTCAACATGCTAGAACTACAGATATGAGCCACTGTGCTGTAAAAAGCTTTCTGTAGAGATGAGATCTTGCTGATGTAGTCAGGCTGGTCTTAAACTCCTGGCCTCAAGCAATGCTCCTCCCTCAGCCTCCCAAAGCACTGGGATTACTGGCACGAGCCACTGTCGCTAGCCCATAATAATTCTCTTTGATCAAATGTTTCAAACCTTTCACATCTTTGGCAGATTTTACCAGGATCAAAATTCCAAATTAAGTTTTCTTTAGCTTAAAATTAACTTTGGGATATTCTAGTTGGGTCCCTGGAAATATTAAAAAATGTTATCTTTCATTTTGTAGAGATAATGGTTTGACTTATTTGGTAACTTGTATGGTAGGCATTGTCAAATAATAATATTAAATCTTCTTTCAGTAATATTTGTGAGTATGTTATCAATATAAGTGTTTCCCAAATCATACAAATTAATAAAAATATAATATTTTATCAGTCAATTTTATTATGATTTTTGATTGCTATGTTAAATCTTTCATGAAGTTATATTTGCATGGATTGGTTATCAATTTAAATATTCTAAAAATTATATAAAAGTTATAAAATTCTAATGGTTCTGATGTGACATTATCAATCATTATTCTGGTTGCATCTACTAGATATTTTGCATGCTGCGTATTTTAGCAATAACTAAATTTCCTGGTCAATTGGAACTTTCATCAGATTTTAATCACGCCTATTCTAAGTTTTTATCATCCACAGCTGTTGTTTTGAATTCTTCTTTAAAAGCATTTGCAATCAGCTTTAGTCCAAAATTGCTTTTCATGGAAAAGACAAGTACTCTCGAGCACAGATTTCTGATAACTTTAAGATAAACGGGCTAAATAGAAACTCCCAGAATTCTCATGAAAGAGCCATTCATGAGGATTGCTAACTCAACATCCAGCAGAACAAGGATTACAAGGGACTGAACTGACGGAGCGCTAAAATGATTACATACATTTTTGTTTGAAATATTGCTGATGCTTTTTATATTTTGTTTTCCAGAGTCAACACTTCCACAGTATATCTCACTACAAAGACACTCCCCAAGGCTAGTGAGTGTGACCCAGTGCCAGTCAGCCCACTCTGTGATTAGCCCACAGTAGACTTATCTTTTGGTGTTGAGTGTTTCCACAACCTCTAAGCTTTTACATCTTCCCTTTTACCTAAGCACCCTGCAGTAACAACCACTCACTGCAAACATGGACTGCCACTTCCAAAACTGTAGCTTTTGCCAGTAACTTGCCACCCATTACCCACACAAAAGTCAGGTTCTACCTCCAATACAAAGTCATCCCTGGTACCCCAAAAGCCAAAGAGATCAGGTACTAATTGTAACTGCTCTTTTTTTGTTGTTGTTGTTTGTTTGTTTGTTTTGAGACAGATCCTTGCTTTTACATCCAGACTGGAGTGCAGTGGCTCGCTCTCGGCTCACCGCAACCTCCACCTCCCGGGTTCAAGCCATTTTCCTGCCTCAGCCTCCTGAGTAGCTGCGATTACAGGTGTGTGCCACTACACTTGGCTAATTTTTTGCATTTTTAGTAGAGATGGGGTTTTACCACGTTGGCCAAGCTTGTTTTGAATTCCTGACCTCAAATGATCCACCTGCCTCAGCCTCCCAAAGTGCTGGATTACAGGCATGAGCCACCACACCCAGCCTTTAATTACTCTTATTTCTTCATTATTTAACAATTTGGTTTACTCCATGACAATATAATTTGCAATTTATGAATTAATAGGATCAGATTTCAAAAAATTCTTGAATGCAATAATTCGATCTTATCGTCTAATTCTAAATATGTTTTCCATTTTTTCTGAGAGAAGGAGCTGTGAATATTATGTAACCTACAATCCTTTTGTAATGTCCAGGATTTTTGCAAGTATTGCGAAGCAGAGGATTAGGTTGGTTTTGGAACTTACTAGGTTAGACAATTTTTTTAGTTGCAAACTCACAATCTTTTTTGCTTTTCCTCTGGTTTGGCTTTCTTTTCTTTTTCTTCCTTAGTTAGGGTATGAGATATTTGATCAGCAAAATGAACTAGCTCATGAGTTTGAGAGGTAGTACAACCGAAGCCTTGTCTCCTTGCTACAGTTGTCGGTTCTTCACCTGATCCATTTACGAAGTCTTAGTTAGGAAAAGCATCATTTTGGTAAGTTAGCGTACATCTATTCTGATAGGTCTGAATACTGTGAAAAAAATTTTTTTCATGCTCTCATGGTATAACATTACAGGCTCATCAAAATCTTTTTGGCATCGTTAGATTTTGTTCCAATCAACTACTCTTCGGAAAATGAGGGGGACAGGATTTCACAGAGCTTTCGCAGTATTGAAGGCCCACTCAGGATCTGCTTCAGAAAATCTGTGGAAGTCCTTCAAACAGTTTCTCCAATTTGCCTTTGCTATCTAATCTTTGGCTTTACTTTCTGACGCTAACATATGAATCACTTGGTATAAACCAGAGAATCTGGGATTATAAGCTTAAATATTTGGCTGGGCATGGTGCTCACACCTGTCATCCCAGCACTTTGGGAGGCCAAGGTGGGGAGATCACCTGAGGTCAGGAGATCTAGACCAGCCTGGCCAATATGGGGAAATCCTGTCTTTACTAAAAAGACAAAAAAAAAAAAAAAAAAAAATTAGCTGTTCTTTCCAAGTGTTGAGCTTATTACCCGTAGGTTTTATGAAAGACTGACTTCAGGCCAGCCTCAGTGGCTCAGTGGCTATAATCACATCTCCCTGCAAGGCCCTGGCACAGTAGCCCTAGCTACTCAGGATGCTGAGGTGGGAGGCCAGGATTTAGAGGTTATAGTGAGCTATGAATGAGTCACCGTACTCCTGCCTGGGCAACAAGTGAGACCCTGTTTCCATGGAAAACAAAACAAAACAGACTAAGTTCAATAAAGCTTGAACTCAGAAAATCAAACCTGTACTTACACACACACATATAAATGTGTTTTTCATAGCTCTTCCCCAAGACACATATGTGTCTTTTACCTACTTTTACACATTGATTCTAATTCTTCAATTGCTTGTTCAGCCTCCTGAATTTCTTGGTAAACGGCTGCAAGAGGTGCCAACTCAGCCTGCCTTCTGTTCAAGGACCTTCGCTTCTCTTCATTCACAGAGAAGTGCTGCAGACACTGCTCAAGTGTTTGGGACTCCTTATGCAGGTTCTCCATATATTTCTGTAGTGCTTTATGCTTCCAGAGCATCTTGGTGCCTTGATGACAGTATCTCCTGGACCAATTCTTACTTAGCAGGTGATGAAGAATGCACTTTCCGTTTTGTCTGAAAACCTGCATCCTTGTGTCAAGATGAATCTGTCCAAATTGATGAGAATGGAGCTGGATGTGACAGTGGAGGGAACCATTAAGAGACGGACGTCTAAAAAGCCAAACACACAGGTGTCGATTCATCTCAGCATCTGAAATACAATAAACACAGACTTTTAAAAAATCAGCTGTAAAAATACATGCATAATAAAGCTGGAAGGGACATCAAGAAATCTTGTTTCATTTACTATCTCAGCCAGCTCCGGCCTTAAAATCCAACTGCCTACAAAATGAAAATAATTCTTCAAATGCATGAATAATGTATTAAAATAAAAACACATCCTGGCCAACATGGTGAAACCCTGTCTCTGCTCAAAATACAAAAATTAGCTGAGTGTGGTGGCACGTGCCTGTCATCCCAGCTACTTGGGAGGTTGAGACAGGAGAATCACTTGAACCTGGGAGGCGGAGATTGCAGTGAGCCAAGATCACGCCACTGTACTCCAGCCTGGGCAACAAAGAGCAAAACTCTGTCTCAAAAAAACAAAAAACGAAAACAAACAAAAAACGTTTAATTCACATTTTCTAGCAAATTCATTAGGATCTGGAAGAGGGTCTGGGAATTTTTAAATTATGTCTTCAAGTTCTACTTTTGACCATGGTTGATATAGCAAGTCAAGTTCTCCTCTAATGGACACAAGGTATTACCAAAATGGAGCCAGAGCAACAGAAGAAGGAGGAAGAGAAGGAAGGAAAGGTAAATTTGGACGAGGACATTCTGTCAAAAGAGAAGGAAGAGGCCAGGTGCTGTAGTGGCTTATGCCTATAATCCCAGCACTTTGGGAGGCCGAGGCAGGTAGATCACTTGAGGCCAGGAGTTCGAGACCAGCCTGGCCAACATGGCGAAACCTTGACTCTACTAAGAAATACAAAAATTAGCTGAATGTGACACATGTCTGTAATCCCAGCTACTCGAGAGGCTGAGGCAGGAGAATTGCTTGAATCCGGGGTGGGCGTGTGTGTGTGGAGACTTCAGTCAGCTGAGATTGCACCACTGCCCGCTAGCCTAGGTGACAGAGTGAGACTCAATCTCAAAAAATAAAAAAGAGAAAAAGAGCTGGAGGGGGAGACATTTTGGCAGTATTTTTAAGTTCAGAAATTGTTTTATACTTTTGTCTTACTCTTGCAGAGAATTGACTTTATCACAACCTCTTTTAGAGGCTTCTAAGTACCACTGAAAATAGCTCTCCCAGTTCTTTTTTCTTTTAGAGACAGCTTTTTCTAATCGACCATACAGATAAACTATTTTAGGTATTTCAAAAGTACCCCACTTTGGCCATTGTAACTTAGGGTCATCTTGAGTAATGTGAGATCCATTTTTTCCTAGATATGTGCATGAGGAGGTGCTGTAAATATTAACTATGACTCCAGCTGCTGTTTCTAGTGGTGTATCTCTACTTAGACTCAGTTATAGACGGTTGCCCATATTTCAGACTTTCTTGTTGAATGGCCAAAAAGACCTAGCAGGAGGAATTTTGATCACTAAGAGGAAAAGCATAAATTTGTCAGTTGCAAATCAAAACCACATTGAGATACCATCTCATGCCAGTCAGAATGACGATCATTAAAAAATCTGGAGACAACAGATGCTGGAGAGGATGTGGAGAAAAAGGAACACTTTTACACTGCTGGTGGGAGTGTAAATTAGTTCAACCATTGTGGAAGACAGTGTGGCGATTCCTCAAAGCCTTAGAAATAGAAATTCCATTTGATCCAGCAATCCCATTACTGGGTATATATCCAAAGGACTGTAAGTCGTTCTACTATAAGGACACATGTACATGAATGTTCATTGCAGCACTGTTTACAATAGCAAAGACCTGGAACCAACCCAAATGCCCATCGATGATAGACTGGACAGGGAAAATGTGGCACATATACACCATGGAATATTATGCAGCAATCAAAAATGATGAGTTCGTGTCGTTTGTAGGGACACAGATGAATCTGGAGAACATCATTCTCAGCAAACTGACACAAGAACAGAAAATGAAATACCGCATATTCTCACTCATAGGCGGGTGATGAAAAATGAGAACACATGGACACAGGGAGGGAGTACTAAACAATGGGGTCTATTGAGGGGAAAAGGGGAGGGCCAGCGGGGGGTGGGGTAGCTGGGGAGGGATAGCCTGGGGAGAAATGCCAAATGTGGGTGAAGGGGAGAAAGGAAGCAAAACACACTGCCATGTATGTACCTATGCAACTGTCTTGCATGTTCTGCACATGTACCCCACAACCTAAAATGCAATAAAAAAATAAAAAAAGAAAGTAATCAAAATGAAAAAAAAAATTCGTCAGTTGAACTGGGCTTCACAATCTGGCCAGTTTTAAAGACTTTCTTTTTTCAGTGATAAACTGATATCTCCTTGACCAAAATTTTGAATGAGAGAAAAGTTTGAAAAGTCTAAGGTCTAAGATCTTAATATTAGAGAAAAGGTGAAACTTAGAAATCTGTGATCAGCGAAATCACCGAAGAACAGCAAGTGAAAGTCCTACCTGACAGCAGAGTTTCAATTTCAGCCCTATCAACTTAGGAATGTGTGTGGCTCAAAGGTCTGAATCCTCGAGCATGCCAGGAAGATTCAAACTTGAGAGGGGCCTTTCCAGAGATCCTTGTGGACACCGGCAGGTTGAATAAACTTCTGGCACCAGGTCTCCAGTTATCAGTGAAGTGACAGTGATCACTGGAGGTCTGCTTTAGGTCCTGTTTGGGTCACCAAAATTTTAACCTTAGGTAATGAGATGCAGAAAATATGATTAAGCATAGAGTTTATTTGAGTCCAGAGCTTGAGGATGGCTACCCAAAAGCATAGATTCAAGTTTTCCTGAATACACACTTCCATTTGCTGTAATTACAAGTGGTTTAAACATTTTTATTTTTAATTAGAGACAGGGTCTTGCTATGTTGCCCATGCTGGGCTTGAACTCCTGACCTCAAGCAATCCTCCTGCTTCCGCTTCCCAGAGTGTTGGGATGATAGGCATGAGCCACTGCACCCAGCCTTACCAGTGTTTTTTAAAAAATAAAAATAAAAAGGAGGCAATTCCTAAATTGTTTACCAAGATTTTATATTAAAATGACATAAGTTATTGAGTGGCTACACATCGTTCTTTGCATCACAAATTTCAGGAACACGAAGCTAATGGGCAAGGCAGCTAGTCAAGAACAAAATGCCTTTAAACAATTGCCTGGGTGCAGCGGGGTGACTGAAGTTCCATGCTCATGTCTCTCTGGGGCGGATACATTTTGTGTACCTCACATAGATCAGATTTCTCGGAACTATTTTTCCTGTTCTCAGGAATAATAGTGTTTTTCTCATAGGGATTTCATAAATATTAAATAAGAAATAGCACATTGTATATAACGTCTGGTACAGAGTAAGTGTTCAATAAGTTACTTATGATGGAATGATTATAATTGAGAAGAGAAAGGAGAGAGAAGGAAAAGTTCCCGGCCGGGCGCTGTGGCTCACGCCTGTAATCCCAGCTCTTTGGAAGGCCGAGGCAGGTGGATCACGAGGTCAAGAGATCGAGACCATCCTGGTCAACATGGTGAAACACCGTCTCTACCAAAAATACAAAAATTAGCTGGGCATGGTGGCGCGTGCCTGTAATCCCAGCTACTCAGGAGGCTGAGGCAGGAGAATTGCCTGAACCCAGGAGGCGGAGGGTGCGGTGAGCCGAGATCGCGCCATTGCACTCCAGCCTGGGTAACAAGAGTGAAACTCCGTCTCAAAAAAAAAAAAAAGAAAGAAAAGAAAATTCTGTCTGTCTCAGTCTCTTCTCCTGTAGTTGATCTTTCCTGATTATCTGATGAGATTTCTAGGGAGGGAGTGTTAAGACAATTGTATTTAAATTTTCTTCATCAGATAAGAAATTCCAGAAAGAGTCTTTCTTATTTATTTATTTTTAATTTTTTGAGACAGAGTCTCCCTCTATTGCCCAGGCTGGAGTGCAGTGGCACGATCTCAGTCTTGGCTCACTGCAACCTCCCTGTCCTGGATTCAAGCAATTCTTTTGCCTCAGTTTCCTGAGTAGCGGGGGTTAGAGGCACCCACTACCACCACACTCATCTAATTTTTGTGTTTTTAGTAGAGACAGGGTTTCACTGTCTCTTGAACTCCTGACCTCGGGTGATCCTCTCGCCTCGGCCTCCCAAATTGCTGAGATTACAGGTGCAAGCCACCTCACTTGGCCAAGAGTCTTTCTTAGGGTGCTTCTGGAAACAGTATCAGAGAGACAAGACAGTGGGAGAAGGGGCAGGGAGAGACCTTTGTTCTCAGGCTTATTTTTGAGGATTTTCAAAAGCATTCAGCATGGCTATATTTGGGGAATCATTTCTGTGCCCCAATACAGGAAGAAAAGGGAGAAACACACCAGATCTAGAATCTTTTTTTTTTTTTTTTTGAGATGGGGTCTTGCTTTGTCACCCAGGCTGGAGTACAATGGCACAATCATGGCGCACTGCAGCCTTGACCTCCTGGGCTCCAGTGATCCTCCCACCTGATTCTCCCAAGTAGCTGGGACCTCAGGTGTGCACCATCACACCTGGCTAAATTATTTTAATTTTTTTGTAGAGCTAGGGTCTCCTTATGTTGTCCATGCTGGTCTTAAACTCCGGGCTTAAGCATTCCTCCTACTTCAACCTCCCTAAAGTGTTGGGATTACAGGCATGAGCCACTGTACCTGGCCTAGATCTAGAATCTAAAGCACTTGGCAATTTGATAAAAAGAAAAAACAGTCAAAGTTGATTATAAAATTTTGAGTCAAGCTGGGTGTGGTGGCACCTGAGTAGCTGGAACCTGTAATTCCAGCTATTCAAGAGCACCTTCAGTAGGTGGAACCTTAATTCTAGCTACCCAAGAGGCTGGAATATGTATATTCCAGATAACTCCCAGAAAGAGCGTTCTTATTATTTATTTATTTATTTAGGGTTTTTAAAAATTTATTTTTATTGTATATATGTTCGATGCTAACTACAAGAGTGGTACCAATCACAACAGATAGAGAAGTAGTTTTCTGTATTTTTTTGGACTACTTTCATGGGGAGATAATACATTTTATTTCAACTGTTAAAGTAGGAAATGCTTATAACACATCCAGATGGAGACACTAAACATTGCGAATGAAGGCCAGGAGATCAAAAGGAGAC